CTGATAACGACAGGAAGAGGAAAGTTTCAGTGACGGCATCGACACAAAAACAGCAGATAGAAAGAAAGTGTAAAAACACGGCTGGGAAAAAGCCTTGTTTGGTTAAAGTCAGAAAACACTTGGCTTTATTCATTATAATGGCTTGATTCATTGTTAAATGTTCTTTACAATGTCCACAAACTATAATTTATATTCAATTGGCTTCCGTTGTCCAATCATCAGTCAAACAAACATATTTTTATATTAAGTATTTTAATTCAGAAGCTGTAAACAGTACATTTGGGACATTTATCCGGCAATTAATTGATATAATTAATTGCTCTGGAGACAGTTGTACTTCTATTCGTAGTTTTAATTCAAATATATGAAACAAACCATTTATATGTTGTTAGTTTCGCCAAATTCATCATTATTTTCTGTGTTTTATTATTCTGTCCACTGTGGGGGCTTGATAGAAAAACCAAAATAAACAAGAGGGAGTCATTTTTATTTAAATTACAATATAACATATTCCTTTAAAAGCTGGGATAATATTGTTTTCTGAGCTCCACACACTGGAGGGAACGTATCCTTTATAATAATAGTGATAATATGAAGTGCGTCAGGAACACAAAGCAGGGGGTTTACTGGAAACCAAACGAAAAAATAATCAGATTGTTCCCACCACTTAGAAAAGACGTCAACTGTGAACATTTTAACGTGACAAATAAATAAAGTCTAAAAATAAGTAAAACAAGATAATTTGACATACAAATAAGAATGAATTGAGAACACATAAATAAACCATTAAAAATGAACTAAAATGTAACTCTAAAATTATTCAAACATGAAGGACAGAAATACTTAAATGTGACTCAAAATAAACATTTTATCAAAGGATTTTACATAAATCATCTGTAAATGTTGCACTTATCTGCAAAATACTTCCTCTTCCATTCAAATATATTGAATATTTCCTATCGTTGTAAATTAAAGTATTTTATTGTAAAAAGATTGCATAATTTTACTGTCATTTAGTTTGATTTTTAAATATATATTTCTTGTACAGATTATTTTTATTTTTTATAATATCTTAACTAATCTTTAAAATGTCCGTTTTGATGTCTCATGTGTTTAGCCATCCAACCGAGTAATTCCCTGTATGACTAAACCAACTTGTAAATAATCATTATTTTCGGATCCTCGTTAGTTTCCACATTAACGACGCTGCAGATTTCCCTCGTTAATTTCTCCTCTTGCATAACTTAGCAGCTCACAAACAAAAGGACTCTGTTTTCTCTCTTCTGGGAGAACAGCAGCTCCGTCGCCTCGCTGCGTCTACACAGCTATTTATATGGTCTTAAATCATATTTATCAGCTGTTTGCATAATTAATTAATATTTTTAAGGATGTTTCAGAACCCAAAGTAAGTCCTGGAGCGGCAACAACAATTATTTAACTATTAAAGACTAATGCGATCATTATTTGGTAATTAATCATTTAAGCTCGAGGGACACACACACACACACACACACACACACACACACACACACACACACACACACACACACACACACACACACACACACACACACACACACACACACACACACACACACACACACACACACACACACACACACACACACACACACACACACACACACACACACACACACACACACACACACACACACACACACACACACACACACACACACACACACACACACACACACACACACACACACACACACACACACACACACACACACACACACACACACACACACACACACACACACACACACACACACACACACACACACACACACACACACACACACACACACACACACACACACACACACACACACACACACACACACACACACACACACACACACACACACACACACACACACTTTATTTAAACTCTGAGCTGAAACAATAAATATCTGAAGAGAAGAAGAAGCAACAAAAAAGAAGAAGATGATGGAGGAGGAAGAGGAGGAGGAGGAAGAGGAGGAGGAGATGTTCCTGCAGGCGTTGCTTTTTAAAAGAAACACCATAAATCACAGGCTCTGTTTGTGTCGAGGGGAGAGTTCGCTCTTCACTTCAGAGTGGAGAGAAACCTGTCGACACCAAACTAAAAGGCTCAGTTTCTGCAGAAGACACAAATCTTAAAAACGTAGATATTCTCAGAGACAAAAGTAAAAAATGAACACACAAAAACACATTGGTATTAGATTAGAGTTCCCAGTTCAAATGAAAATGGTTCAAGTTGTTAACGTCACTCAGAAGCAGCTTTAAGGTTCAGTGAATTTAAATCCTGATAAAAGCCGACTGGAGGAAACTAAACAAAAACTACGACAACATCCGATTGTTTTAACCAAAATTAGGAGAACACGTCAACTGTGAACATGTTAACTGGCAATATTGTTGACGATTAAAGGTTAAAAATGTGGTTAACATTTTTAATTTGGCATAATAATAGGAATAAATTAAGAAAAAGCTGATTAAATTAAGATAAAGAAGTTTTAGTAACAACTACAAATTGACTAAAATGTAATGACTTTCCTAATACTTAAAGACTTTGAAAATGATGAAGGATATAAATGTATTAATTGTGATTCAAACTAAACATTTTGAATACATCTAAATCGTCTTTTTTATGCTAGATACTTGCCCTTTAATCTTTTGAACTCCTAACAAATCAACATGATGATTAAAGCAAGCTATCTTACTTGTTTTGGGACAAATTAGTCAATTAAAATCCTGATAAATCAACATAATGATTAAATCAAAGGTCAGACATGCAGCCGAAATGTGCAGGATGCTGATTCAGACCTCAGTCTCAGTGTTTAGAGATGACCTCTGACCTCTGCAAATCCAGCAAAACAGGAAGAACATCATTTGACTTTATCAGTGTTCGGTGGGGTCATTAAAGGTATAACAAGAAAAAAGGACTTCAATGTTTTGGAGCTAGGGCAATAATTGTACATTTTCAGTAAAATCTTTGATATTCTCTGACAGGGTTTTGTCTAAACTGGGTAACGGGCGCTGTGCCCTCTTCCCAAAAACATAGATGTTCCTGTAAAATGTTAAAGTGATGCCAGAAAACCATATTTCTGTTAGCAGAAATCACGTGGTGAGACATGGGGTGCTTTGGACTAAACAACCGTAAACATGGCCTTTGCCAAGTCGAACACATTCAAATCATGTCAGAAAAAGACCGGAAAAAAAGGTATACGAGTGATTTTAGTAACTATCGTGTTAGCTAACCTAGCCTACGAGCTAGCTATATAGGTAGTTCTGGAGGCATTAGGCGCTTTCACACCGGAGTACTTTTCACAGGAATAGTTCCGATAGTTCCTGGGATTTTGCGTTCAAACCAAAAAGATTGGGGACTAGAACTTTTAGTTTTCTCCCTGCTCGAGAGGTGGTACTTTCCTGGGGAGGAAAAGGTTCCAATTTCTGATTGGCTGGGCAAATTGCAAACCACGCCCCGTAAAACTCCGAAAAGTTTTGTGAAGCCGCCATTTTATTTGCTTGCATTAGCATTATTAGCATTAGCCCAGCGCACCAACGGAGAGAGACTAACTTATGGCAACACAAAATGAAACGTGGGAACGGTGGAGTGATGAGGAGGTGTTGGCGCTTCTGGCAATTTACCCGGGACTTCGGGTGGCAGTATACGGCGTGAAGTTGTTTGCGGCCTGCCAGTAAACCCAAAGCAGAAGAAGAAGAAGTGACGTCAGCGGCTTCATTTGCGTAATCCTCCCTCAGAGACTTATTCCGGTGTGAACACGATCTACTAAATAGTTCAGGAACTAAAGATTCCCGGGGAACTAAGTTCTGGGAACTTTTCCTGGGAAAAGTACTTGGTAGGAAAGCGCCTATTCATATAGCTAATAAGTGAACGGTTAGTCGTTATCGCTGTTATTTAGCCAAACAAGTATAGCTAACAGCTAACGTTCACTAACCTTCCTGCAGATATTATTACATTACATTACATTACATTTAGCTGACGCTTTTATCCAAAGCGACTTACAATAAGTGCGTTCGACCAACAAAATACAAACTTGAAGAAAACAGAATCATAAAGTACATCAGGCTTCATAGAGCAAAAACATTTCAAGTGCTGCTCAACTGGCTTTAGATAAGCCAGTCCTTTATTAGTATATAAGTGCTTTGTTAATAGTTCTAACGCTCGAAGTGGAGTCGAAAGAGATGAGTTTTCAGTTTGCGCCGGAAGGTGTGTAAGCTATCTGCTGTCCTGATGTCAATGGGAGCTCATTCCACCATCTTGGAGCCAGGATAGCAAACCCACGTGTTTTTGCTGATGGGAACTTGGGTCCCCCTCGCAGCGAGGGTGCAGCGAGCCGTTTGGTTGATGCAGAGCGGAGTGCACGCGCTGGGGTGTACGGTTTAACCATGTCCTGGATGTAGGAAGGGCCAGATCCATTCGCAGCATGGTAAGCAAGTACCAGTGTCTTGAAGTGGATTCTAGCAGTTACCGGAAGCCAGTGAAGGGAGCGGAGGAGCGGCGTGGTGTGGGAGAATTTAGGAAGGTTGAAGACCAGACGAGCCGCTGCATTCTGGATGAGCTGCAGAGGTCGGATGGCACATGCAGGTAGACCAGCCAGGAGGGAGTTGCAGTAGTCTAGGCGTGAGATGACGAGAGCCTGGACCAGAACCTGAGTCGCTTTCTGGGTCAGCTGGGGACGTATCTTCCTGATGTTGTAAAGCGTGTATCTGCAGCAGCGGCCTGTAGCAGCGATGTTTGCAGTGAAGGACAGTTTGTTATCTAGGGTCACACCCAGATTCCTTGCAGTCTGAGTCGGGGAAACAACTGAGGTGCCGATGTTGATTGAGATATGATCAACGTTAGCATACTGGTTTCTGTGAAGAAGTTATCACTTCCTTTAATATAGTTTATAATGCAGTGAAATATCTGGATTCATTCTCACCAAGAACTACATTATTTGAAGCGTTATAATAAACGTTTTCTCCAATAC